TATATATATATATATATATATATTTGTATATATATTTTCCATGCATATATATACATAGTTATACATGTATGTACATATATTGTTAATGACATCGCTACACGTTAACACACACACACATATACGCGCACACACAGTACGCAGTATTTGGATATTATTCGTATGCCAATTTACACTTTTGCAGCCAGCACGTGCACTTGCTAAATGTGTCAATTGCTCATATCTCAAGCAACGCATTACCAGTTTTTTATTTATTTATGTATTTTATTTTGCTTCCGAAACTGAACTGCTAGCGCTCTAGACTTACGACTCTATTAAAATTTTCAAGACGACTGACGGCACGGACCAAGAGTAGCAAAGTAGAAAATACTGTGAAGACTTTTAACAGTGTGACCAAATCGATCGATATATCGATACATTCTGGAAGCACTCCTGTGCGAAGACGACGAGAACATTATTTTCGACACTGACCAGACTGTCTGGTTCGCAGCAGCGAGTAAGCAGTGTGGGAAATTCGAATTTGAATTCTCGGCGGGAAATTTTTGTTTTGTTTTCGCCCGAGTTAGAGATGGTTGCTGCTTCTCACGATTTTTTCGTGTTTATATATGTAGCTCATCCCGAATTTCAACATTAATTAACATTATTATGCCAAGGCCCGAAAAGATTAGTTTGATGTTATCCCTCCGAATTTATAGAGAATATAAATATATGTATATTTATACTCATTCACGAAAGTGAATGCGAATACGTTCCGTATGAACGCAGTCTATTTCGGCGCTATTGAAGTTAGAGCTAAACTTAGCTATTAAATTGCTTATGAGGTGTGAATGAGTATTCTGCAGTTGGTAACGCCCGACTGCAACGTTCTTACATGTTTCTTTTATACTTAAGCACTATAAACTTTATTAAAATATATTTATATAAATTGCTTGCGCTTATAAATAAAATTTTACACATGGAGTTAAAACAACATGTATTTAGATATTATGCATGTCTGCTTATATTCTACGACAAATAAATATATACATATATACGTACTTTCGCATATACATATGTATATGTTTATATAATATGCACATATTTTTCAATAAAACGCATACGCGTTCATATAAAAATTAACACTTGAGCAAAAATTTGTATTGCGAATTGCATGAAAAGCGAAACATTTAAAGTACACAATTAAGCATACAAATAATATTCACGTTTAACACTAGCTTTGATTGAGACAGTGCGGAAGAAGGGTTACACAGAGATAGAACGAGAATGAAGGAGAAGGAGAATGAGGGGATAGTGAGAGTTGGATATGGGACAGCTATTGTGTAGCATGCCGCCAAAAATGCATTCATGCCACAAGTCGTAATGGCCTAGCTCTCCCAGACCTCGTCGCGCTGTTTGGCAGCTAAAAGTTTACGTTCTACAATACAAATGGATAAGATAGAAAACATATTAAGGATATGGATAAGACATTCACCTTTGGCTTCACGTAGGACACGCCTTTCATTCTCCCTTTCCTCTGGTGCCGTAGGCAACTTAACACCCAGAGCGCCGGACACCAGACGACGCGCTAACGCCGTACAAGTTTCCGGTCGTTGTCGATATGGCTGAAGCGATGTGGCGCCCGCCTTCTTCGCCTTGAGACGGGATTCCAGTGTAGCCTCGGCCAGTGGCTTCAACTTAACAAATGGATGACCCATGGTCAGCACCTCAGCAGCTACAAAATGAATAAAAATTATAATTTTTGGTTGACTTTAACAAGCAAATACCTCACACTCCCTACTTACCAATACGGGAGCTGCTAAAGACAGCCAGAGCGTGTGTATCATCCACCCATTTGATGTCGAAACCGGCACTTTTGTACTGCGAGAAGAGCATTAGCAGATCCGGTGTCTTAAATTCCACTGGGAAATTCGAGATCTCCAGCACATGCGGAAACTCCTCCTCATTGAGCAGCGATTGCTTAATGTGATACAGCTGAAGGATTACAAAGTAAATAAAGTATGAATTAAAACATTTACGCAGCTACATTCACTTACGCTGTAATCCATTTTAGGCAATTCGATTTTACATTTCCCCACGGATTCGGTCAGCTCTTGCAGAATCTTTGGATTCAAACAGTCGCCGTTCTCATCAAACATATTCTCCCAATCATCTTCGTTCTCCTCATCATCATCCTCGGTGGTGCTGTCGGCAGGTGGTGTCAGTGATGCAGCAGTCGCTGCTCCTGCTGCCGTTGCTGTTGTAGTTGCTGCTGTGACAGTGGCATTGCTAATCTGAGGCGCAGATTCAATCTTTTCGGGTATTTCAAGCACATCCGATACAAAAGTTTGTTTCATGATACGACGATTGCTGCGGTTGATTTCCTATAAGCAAGATCAAATTTAACTAAATGTATCCACGAAATTTATGTCAACGCATTTACCTTGGAGGCTCTCTGCAGTTCGCGCACTTCGTTATCACATTTGTTCACATCCTCAGTCGTTGGCGCATAGCTGGCTTTTGGCGGCGCAGCGTCTTCGATGCGCAACGATTGCGGCTGTTGCTGTTTGTGGGTTTTGCTCGTCTTTGATCGCATTGTCTACAAAATTAGACGAATACTTTTATTTCGGTCTTGGTTTGGCAAATTCACAATATGATTAATTACCTCTTTATCACAGTTGCTAACTAGCGGTGGTCCGGCCGTATCTGGTATTTGGTTAGCTTGGTTTTCGCTAGGCGCAATCACAAGCAACGTATCTGGCTCAATAGTTTTGCCAACCGATTTCTTGCCGCGATCTCGACGAGATCTTGATTTTTTTGTTTTCGCTTGTTGATGCTGCTGCTGCCCGTTGCCGTCGTCTGATTTGGACGGGTTTGTATTTACAACTGGCATGTCCAATGGCTGTGGCTGTGGCTGTAGCTGTTGATTGCACGTAGTCGGCGCTGCTGCTACGGTTGGCGTAGGCATCGGCATTGTTGTCGTTGTTGGAGGCGTTGTTTGACTGCGTCGTGCCCTTGGCACATAAACCGCGCGATCGGGACGCCGTTCACGACGCGTTGCTGCTGCTGCTGCTTCGGCCGCGGCGGTGCTTGTTTGCTCTCTGCGAAGCAGTTGATCAAAACAAAACAAAGAAAATAATGATAGCGGTTAACACAGACACACACACACAAATACGGACACAACTCCACGTAGAGAAGAATTTCGTAAAAAACAGTTGTCAAGTGCAAGCACCTTACAAGGAATTGCAAAACAATAATGCAATCCCAATAAAAACATATGAATATTTTGTCGAAAAGAAAGCTGCGTTAACTATGATTATAAAACTCGTGTGTTTACTATATAAACAATTAGGTTGCTGGGTTTTAATCAATGGAGATTACGTACCTGCCTGGAGACCTTTTCCGTGCGACTGAGGTAGTTGTCGAGATTATTTCTGTTGTAGTTGATATTGTTGTTGTCGTTTGTGCCGCTGCCGCCGTCTCTGGCACCGTTTCGTTCGTTGCACCTGCTGCTGTTGCTTCCTCGCTGCTATTGTGTCTGAGTGCGGGCGGTCTGTAGAGATCCACAGAGTTCGATTTACTTACTGCAAAAGAGGCCAACAAAAAATCAAACAGAGTAAAGCGAAAGGAATACAATAATTATTAGCAAACTTTAATCATTTCATCAGATGAGGTAAAGTATGTGGCAAAAAGTAGGTACACACACACATATATCTATATATATATATATATATACACAATATAAATGCACATATACATACATATATATTTACACACAGAGCTATACAAAATTCACTAATGTTGACCTAATTTACGTTCGTTCGCTTTGGGCACTGCTTCGTGAATGTCAACATGTCTCGCTCAACCAGGGCGCAACAAGTGAGCGAGCGAGAGAGCAAGTAGCCAAAACGAGACAAGCGAGAGGGAGAGCGAGTGAGCTGAGAGCTGAGTGTGATGCAACCTGAAAGGCAGCTCGCGAAAGAGGGCGACCTTGAATAAGCTGCGTGACCCGAGCAAACAAAACGAACTGGCGCCCGTACGTTCGCCGGCGTGTTTGGCTTTATTTTTAGTCGTTTGCACACATACACACGCTTAAAACTTAAATAATTAATTGGTATTCGTTTAATTTTATTTTTGTTCGGTTTTCTTTGTTTTTGGTTTGTCTATTTGCAAAATATTTTCAAACTTGTCAATTGTGCCAACTTCCATTGCATACGAAAACACTCACGCACACATGCATATGTATGTATATGCATATGTATATTGTATGTATATAATTAATGAAGGGTTTGTCTCAATATCCGTTAAATAAATTCAATTTTAAATATTTAATATAATTAAGTAGTTTACACCGCACTGGTCATTAAATATCGATTAACATATAAATGAGCAGCATTATTACGTATACATAAGTTACTTACAAGGAGTTTCGCTGATATGCTTCTTAACGCCCATTTTACACAGATCCGTTACGCGTTTTCTACTTGCGCTGCTACTTCTACCGTTGCTTCGCCAGCTCTTCACTGGTTGTTGTTGTTGTTGCTGCTGTTCCTGTTTACGGCTGTCACAACAACAACATTAAGAATCCGAAAGAATTGCATTTGTATATATATGTATAAAGGTGCGCTACTTACGATTCAAATCCGTGCGGATCGATAAGCTGATTGCGAAAACAGACAACTGTGCGTCGATGCGGGCCTTGACCCACGGAAAACGTTAGAAGATCGTATTGCTGTCGATAGTTCTCACATGTTTGATGTATAAGATAACGGCGATAATTGTTCACAGGTGGAAAGAGCAGCACACTATGCAAGAAAGAGGCCAAACCGAGTTAGTGCCTTGTACATTTGTGTGCGTGTCTCTCGTTCGTTTACTACTCTGTCTCCCTCTCTCTCTCTCTCTCTCTCTTTATATATATGTATATGTTGTTTCTTTACAGCTAACAGGTTGTTGCCAGCGAGAAAGAAGAGAGGCACAATAAGAAGCACGCAAAGCCTGACTTGGAAGTAACTTCTTATGCAACAGAAACAATAGCGCAACCTAACAATTAACATACATACAATAACAGCAACAACAGTGAATAATAATAATGAAAATATTACACGAACAAACTGCTGATGGTGCGAGCCGATGTTGTTTATTGTAATGCAATAAATTGTTTATTAAACACGTCTTGCATTTTAAACGCCTCAAAACCGTGTTACCAGCCCCAAAAGCAAACGATGCAATGCGGAAAGCTATGTTGCATGCAACACTATTTTTGTTATTGCTGTTACCACTGTTGCTGCTGCTGCTGTGGGGCAGCTGAGAAAACTCGAAATTGTGGCATTTGCAAACCGGTAATATTACATCGAAGGCCCCATACTGAATTTCGTGTTGTTGTTGCAAGCTTCCGCGTTGTTACGGACACAAATAAACAACAAACGAAGAGTGGGGTGCGAGACACGCGCGGCACGAGTAGAGTAGGGATATCTAGTCCCACAAAGAATTGTTTTTATTGTTGTTTTTGTCACCAGCTGCTGCTGCTTACGACCGAAGCCTTTCTGTGCCACAAACACATTTGCGCACACAGAGAATCACATAGTCACACACATACACTTGAATTAACACATAATACATATCCACGCATACACACATATGCTCGTGTGCTTAAGAAGTTCTAAGAGCTCTTACCCACTGCTCAGGCGTTTTTTTAAAAACAATTCAATATCGACTCCAACATTATACACGAATTCTTGATCGATCAAGCTTAAACTAGCTGTCAACGTGTTTTTCCGTTCGCCGTTCTCCAGCTTTTTATTAAATATGCGACAATGTCGCCACACATAAATACAGTTTAGAACTTTTTTCACGTTTCACGAATTCAGTGTGTACACATCAACTGATTCAATATATTTCAATAATCGATGTATGGTTTCTACGATAAGAGTGCTACGATGATAAAAATATCGATATTTTTATATCAGGTGGCGAGCGAGTGAAAATCTGTTTATTGCAATTTTGAAAATAATAGTTTGTGATTACTCGCTTTATATATTTATATTTACTATAGTTATAACCAACAAGTTATTCCTGCACCAAGAAATATGTAATAAAATGAGTGAAAAGTTACATTTCAAAATATATAGTAATTTTCCATTAAAGTGCAGTACATCTGTACTTTGCTGTTTACAAAAAACGTAAACAAAAATCAGCTGTTCTTGATTTGATTCCATTGAACTAGTTATTGAACCAACTTTTTACAACCTATCGTCAAAATCATCGATAATAGGGCAATCGCAAAGCAAAAATAATTTTGGAAAGTGCAAATTGCGAACAACGGTAATACACAAAGTTGTTTTGCTTGTGCTAAAAATGTGTACAATACATTCAAACACAAGTGTTTTATTTCTGGCTTGATCCAAATTGCAAGTGTTTAAAATTTGAAAAATAAAAGCCCCTGAGCAAGGTTATAATAATTTTGTAAACGAATGCGTCTTTAAGCAGTGTGTGGTGTGGGGGTGAAAAGCAGACAACGACAACTGTGCCATTGGCATAGAATTTTCGCATATACATACATATGTACATACAAGGCAACCAAAAGGGTCACAGTTACAGACACACACAACCTCAGATAGTGTCTCATTTTGACGATTAACAATAATATATTTGCAGACAAAACTGACACAGGGCCAGGGACGTTGACGTCGTCGCCATCGTCGTGATAATTGGAAAGTGGCAAAAAAAAAAGCAACAGCAAACGAGCGCACAACGGTAATAGCTTTCAATACACACACAGACGAGCATATGTGCACACACAGGCACGCACACATGGAGGCGTTTGTTTGATGTACAATTTAGAGCAATCGAGCAACGAACAAAAGACAGACAAACAAATTATGACGGCGCGTGAAAATGTTGCTAGCCGTTTGTCCAAATTGATGCTTAGCAGTAGCAATAGCAATAGCAACAGCAATGGCAGCAGCAACAGCAACAGCATCAACGGCAGTTCAGCAGCCACGACGGCAGCAACGATGTCCATGGTGCAATCACCGACGTCGCCTGGCGAGCAATCCGAGTTGAATCAATTGAAACGCGATGCGGATCCGCAATTCTCACGCTTTGCCGATTATTTTGTGATATGTGGCTTGGATTTAGATACGGGCCTGGAGCCCGATCGTTTTGCTGGTAAGCCACATCAACAAGTAGTTGGAAAGTTATCAAAATATTAACACGAATTTCTATTTTATTTTATTATTTTTAATATTTGATTAGGTGATAATTTGCACTGTTCGCCGCTGGATCGCGCCTACAAGAGCAAACCATTAGCCCATTATCCCGAAAATGTACCCTGGAATCCATTCGATGCACACGGCATATGTATGGTAGGTGCAGCCATTTAATAGACATATAGCCACATGGGCGAGGTCTTCAATTAAGTTCAATTGCCTGCTTGGTGATGCAAGCAAGTCTAGCCCTCCGATCGGGCACAGTCCGAGTGCCCTGAGCACACAAATATGAAATTCATGCTTCACTGACTTGGTGCTCATTGATCATGATGATGATATGACTGCGAGCTGCTTTTAATTGATGCCACATCAACAGCGACGACTGCGCTGTCGATAAGCAAACAGCCACGCGTAGCTTATCATACAACGAAATCTTCACTTGTATATACTTTGAGAGTATTTGAAGTGCCCAGCAATGTATATATGTGTATCTATATATAATATACATCTATATAGATGTATTGGGCATCTGCTTTAAGTACGTTTTACAGTTATTGCAATTTATGAGGCACACAAATGATTTTCTTATGCACAGCCTAACGACAGTTGATAATTGAAGATTTATAGTTTCATTAGCATTATTACGAAATGGCACATAAGTAGATCTGATTGTTAATAAGTAGTACTGATCTATTTTCCCCTTTACTCTTTGCAGTTGTCGCTGCCGCAGGGCCTGCGCTTTCGCACTCAGAAACACAATATTGAGCCAAAGTTCCATTCGTTTGCTACAACGAGAGAGGATGGCAAACGTTGTTATGGTTTCAGTTTGGTTTTCTACGAGGAGATACGCAATCGGAACATCTGTGGCGCCATCCACACGCTGCAGTCCATGTTCATAACGGAGCTATCGAATGGCCAGCAGACGCACTCACTGAGCCGCATTAAGCAGGATGGGCCGGTCAGTCGTTCGCTGCCGCGACACTTTAAAGTAGCCGGCCAGGCGCCGCAGTCCGCACAAAGCTATTACGACATTAGCAAGGACAAGCTATATGTGGCCAAAAGTATCTCATTGATTTGTCAAGCGCCCTATGCATTTGCCGCAGAGCTGTTCCTCAAGAATCTGTACCGGTAAAATGGGGTTCTTACTCAATTGTTTTTATTGCCTATAAACTTAATCTATCTAGACTCTATATTATATTATATAGGTATATCTAGACTATATTATATTATATATATTATCTATGACTTTGTACTTAAATATCCTTCACGTTTGATATGTCACTCAGCTCAATTTTATTTATATATTCTGTTCTATGATTTATACCAGACATAATGATAGCATTTATTATCTAATCGTTGATAATTCGTATATATATTTTTGGTATTATTTTTAGACTTTTTATACAAATCAATTGATTATCTGTATGTGTCTTTATCTGTTAAGATAAGTTTGTGTTTTTTTTCCACAACTGTAAATGTAATTATAAATTTACCTTTGCAGTTGTCTTCCACGACAGCCAGGCGCTGGCATTAGTCTGGAGTCGTATGTGTATAACATACTCTATGAAGTGATGCTACCTCAGCCGGGAAAATCGATACGCATCTATTTACCACCCACGGAACCACATCTGCCAGCAATTGCATTGATCCTGCAACGTCCTGCGCTGGCCACTGAGCTGCCGCTGCTAGACTTTCCGTTGCGTTTGCTCTTCAGCTACCTGGGTGTGGAGTGTGTCATTCAGCTCCTGACCTGTGTGCTGCTGGAGAGTCAGGTGCTGCTGCGTTCCACAGGTAAATAGCGAATGAAATTCATTTTTTCCCCTAAATATATACGTATTCCCCTCGGCAGACTACCAAAGACTCATGATTGTGGGCGAGAGCATCACATCGCTGTTATTTCCGTTCATTTGGCCACATGTCTATGCGCCCATTTTGCCCGCTGCACTGCATCATTTTCTGGACGCGCCGGTGCCGTTTGTGATGGGCCTGCACGCCGGATGCGAGGCAGCACATAAGATCGGCAGTGAAGCAGCTTTGTGTTTTGTGGACATCGACAAGAAGCACATTCAGCTGCCCGAGGAGCTGCCGGTGTTTCCGCACAAGATAGACTTTATGGCCGAGATCATTTCGGTGCTGGACAAGTTCGAAATCGAGCGCGATCGCGCCCAGGAACCCAGCCTAAAGAATGGCTATGCCATGCGTGGCGGCGCCGATGCCATGATCTCTAGCTGCACGCTGCCCAACGGTGTGCAGGCAGCGCGTCGCAGCAAAGAGCGCTTCCAGCAACTGCAGGAGACGGTCTACACTCTGTCCAATAGCGGTGGCGGTGGCTCGCCCGCACAGATGCCAGGCGTGGACTATCAGCCATTGGTGGCGCATCCATCGAAAATCGACCATGTGCCACGCATTGCTGACTTTCTGCGTCGCAAGGGTGGCATGCGGGCTGCCCAGGCTAGCGGTGGCTCACCCGTTGGCAGCCCCACTCTGTCCTTGTCCTCGTCTCCAGTGGGAATCTATCAGGACGTCGATGCCGTGGACTCAACACTGCCGCCCTCTCGCATGGGCTCGTTATCGCGGCGCGCTGAAAAGCCAACTTTGTCGGCCGTGGAGCAATACTATCAGGATTTGCGCATAAATAACTCGCTGCGGGAGATATTTCTGAATCGTTTCGTTCACATGTTCCACGCCTACGAATACTTTGTCATCTATCCCAATCAGGCCAAGGATGAGTGGCTCTCGAATCGCGAAACACTACAGAATTTCGACAAGTCGTCCTTTCTCTCCGATCAGCCAGAGCACCATCGCGCCTTTCTCTCGCGCTTCCTTGAATCTCAAATGTTTGCCACGCTCATTGACAACAAAATTCTGGCCATGTGGGAGCCACAGCCGGATGAGCAGCTGCAGCTATTCGATCAGCGCATTAAGCTGCTAAGGTAAGCTTCCATTTACTGTGATGCGGCTTGTGTTAAAGTGGGTTTTTTCTCTGTTGCTTCACAGGCGTCGGCATGGCGAGAATATGATCTGCGCCACCAGCTATGAGCCGTGTGTGCTCAGTCAGGACTCGCAGCAGTGCTTTGAGAAGCGTCTCAATTGCATTGACATTGAGGTGACGCCACCAAGTGAGATTTTATCTAATCGTGCCGCCTACTTTCGCAGCTTTCCGCTTCTCGAGAAGGGCGTGTTGAATCAGGAGTGCGCCTCGAGGTAGTGTTTAATGCACTTGTACCCAACTCTATGTACCTACACTCCAAACCAATCCACTTCCCAAGCACGTTCCCTTATCCCAACCCCCCTTAATTAGCCTATTCATATCGCATTTCCCTCCACCAAGCCGTTGAGCCTCTGTTCCACCTGTTAACCTACCTGATGTCGTTGATATTATCTTATTGTGTTAGAATATGTATTATATAGTATCTGTATTAGTGCCGATGCTCAGTCCGTCTGGTCTTCCAATTAAAATTTAACTCGTACTGCTTTTGATTCTGTTTGCCTTTTGTACAATAATTTATTGATTAACAAGTATTAAGCCAATAAATTGCGACAACAAATAATTCATCAACTGTTGTTAAATTTTTCGTTTCTTTTCTTTTTGCATATTTTCTCTCTCTCGTTTTGTTCCTTTGCACCGCATGCGCACCCATCCTC